GTATGACGTGGTTTCTTTTCTAATACCTACAAGTTTTTGCCTAAGGCATAACCATAATCAGCCATTTAATTATGTCACTTCATTGTGTATCTCTTCATGAACGTTCTCGCTGTATCCAAATGTTAAAAAGTATTTTTGGAATAGGTGAAGGAGTGATGTAATCCACAAATGGGTATGAAAACACTAAAGTGGGTCTGTGAAATTTCGTTCACAGAACGTCGCCACCACGAAAAGTTTTAGTTGTTGTAGGCTTATGACTGAGTGAAGATGATTAAAAAAGCCAAAAAAAGTGTTGAGATTCTCTTTGACAAGACGAATCTCATCGATTTCTTTTTTGGCTTCTACACTAGACTGCACCCACTGAGTCGATAAAAATGAGTACATGACGATTTACGGAATGGAATGATGAATATATGATGATTTATGGAAAAAAAAGATTATATCATGACTTAAGTTTGCTTAATTACACGGAATCTTTGCCGAGAAAACTGAACCGATTGCTGTGAATGACAAAAGCAGAACAAACTTTGGATCGTATTTATGACAAAGAGCGATCAGCGATGGTTCTTTACGTTCTTCGACAAGCGATGCGATCGTGTAGTAGAAGAGTAATTGATCAACACTGACGCTGGCCAGTGCTGACCATCCTTGGTTCACGTAATGCTGTGCCAAGTACGCCGAACCCAAACGCAGATTCACAGATCCTCGTCCACGTGACGAATACCCTTCACGCGCTATTTTCGACATGAACCACTGTGCTTCCGCATCCTCACGAACCTTCAATTGTAAACTTTAGCGATAATGACGAATATTCATTGCGAAGAGTCTGGAAGAATTGTTCAATGGATGGTGTTAGAAGCATGAATGAGCGTCGTAAATATTGCAAATAAAGGATATTGCAAATATTGCAATATTTGCAATTGCTGAAGGAAATAAAGTGATTAACCTTCATGATGACATCCTTACAGAGAGTGTTTATACGTGCAAACGAACAACGTTCTCTGTGACTGTTCCAGTCGAGTTCGCGACAGTTCCGACTGCAGTAATACGTATAGCANAAACGAGCGGCGCTCAACTCTCTTGTCTTGTGACACCGCGAACATCGTACAAATAGCCGTTCGTTCTGAAACGTTGACATTGATTGGATTCAACGCTTGCGTTTGGAATGAAGTGGATTGTGGTTGTCGTCGAAGTTCGAATTAGAATTATTGAAAAAAAAAATCATTGATGCAATCATAAAGAAATCACTCAACGAAACAACCTTCAAAAGACGCTCAGCATCGGCTGGATCACGAGTAACTTGTTCCATGAGCATATGGTTTTTCGCGTAGATTCCAGGACCAAAAATATTTGCACTAGTTAGATCACTGAAATTTGCTGATTTTGCCTCATCGAATCATTGAAATAATTTCGATGGATCATCGTTGACTTCTATTAAGTTGTCGTTTCATTATCTCACGAAAAAGATTCGCACGAATTTCAAAATTTTACTCACGAAATGAGAATCAATGAAAATTATTGTTTCGAAGCACTTGCAGGTATGTATTGCTGCACACCTGTAAGTGCTGATAACGAACGTAATTTTACTGGAAGAAAGTCATTGTC